TCAGCGCTGAGGGAGCGCCGCACTGTCGGAGGGTCAGTGCTGAGGGAACGCCGCGCTGTCGGAGGGTCAGTACTGAGGGAGCGCCACGCTGTTCAGGGGAAGGAAGTTAATCACAGAAAGCCCACAGTGTGGAAAGAGGCCATTTGGCCCATCGAGCCCACACCAAACCTCTGAAGAGCATTCCACCCAGATCCACCTCCCTACCCTATCCCTGTAGCTCTGCGTTTCCCATGGATAACCCACCCAACCTGCACATCTTTGGACTGTGGGAGGAAACCGGAACACCCGGAGGAAACCCACACAGACACGGGGAGAACGTGCAAACTCCACACAGACAGTCACCGGAGGGTGGAATTGAACTCAGGTCCCTGGCGCTGTGAGGCTGCAGTGCTAACCACTGAGCCACCATGCCACCCACCTGCTGAGATTTTGCTGCAATTTCTGTGTTTCTCTCTGGATTATTAGCCCATTGACATTAATCTCAACCAGCACCTCCCCCACAGTCAGTAACCTGTAAGGGTACAGCTCCAACAACACTCCAGAACCTCAACATACACAACCTTCAACATCTGCTCCCTCCACCACTGATGCTCAGTAGCAGCAGTGTGTACTATCTACAAGATGCACTGCAGAAATTCACCAAAGATCCTCAGACATCACCTTCCAAACCCACAACCACTTTTATCCAGAGGGACAAAGATTGCAGATACATAGGAACACCACCTCCTGTAAGTTTTCCCTCCAAGCCACTCACCATCCTGACTTGGAAATATATTGCCGTTCCTTCACTGTCGCTGGGTCAAATCCTGGAATGCCCTCTCTAACAACATGTGTGTCTGTCCAAAGCACATGGGCAGAGCAGGTCAAGAGGGCAGCTCACCACCACCTTCGCAATGGGCAACTAGGGATAAATAAGTTCTGGCCCAGCTCGGGACACCCATGTTCCATGAACAAATAAAAATGAAGTTCAAAGGGGACTGGGATGGATAGATCCAAACAGAAAATCGCAACCTTGACTTATACAATGAACTTAATTACTCCCTGAATTAATTTCTCTGCTGTAATGAAAATGCAGAGAGCATGGTGCAAAGGTCTGAGGGGTCAGAGTGGAAAGGGCAAATATAGGATAGACCCAAGTTGGCACCTATTTGCAGGAGGGACGCTGAGGTCACATGTATGAAACAGCTGGATGGGAATATGGGAGTGTTAGTATTCTGGAAGAGTGGGTCCAGGGGTTTTCTTTAACAGAAACTAACCTCTCGAGTTACCAACTCCATTTTGAATCCATTTTCAACAGAGAAGACCCGAAGAAGGGTCTAGGCCCGAAACGTCAGCCTTCCTGCTCCTCTGATGCTGCTTGGCCTGCTGTGTTCATCCAGCTCTACACCTTGTTATCTCTGTAGAAACAGCACTGGGCTCCCCCTGGGCTGAGCTGATTGTTTCTACATAGACCTCTTGCACCATCTTCTGGTAAAAATTGAGCATTACCCGTGGTTCTGAAAAAGCAGCGAGGATTGGGAAGGGCTGTTGGACTGCAGAGGCAGCAGAAGGGGTGGGGGGGTGCAGGACTGATGGGTTGGTACCTGTGCAATGAGGGAAGGGAGGAGAGTCACAGCTTGAAACTCTGGAGAATAATAAAGGAATGGGGGAGACTCTGCACGGCAAGGATGCAGGAAGAGGTGACAGGTGTTGGATGTCACAGGTTAGGGTGAAGAAAGGGCACAGAGACATAGAAAATAGGAACAGGAGTAGGCCATTCAGCCCTTCAAGTCTGCTCCACTATTTAATATGATTATGGCTGATCATCCAACTCACCTGTTCCTGTTTTCTCCCCATATCCTTTGATCCCTTAAGAATCATATCAACTCCTTCTTGGAAACATTCAATGTTTTGGCTTCAACCACTTTCTGTGGCTGAGAATTCCACAGATTCCCACTCTCTGGGTGAAGACATTTCTCCTTAACTCAGTCCTAAATATCCCACCCTGGATCCTTAGCCTGTGACTAAAAGGGGACAGGGTTGCAGGCAGAAGGGAATTGAAATTTGATTGGAAGCGGAGCATGTGTGAAAGGAACTGGATCATTGCTCCGTCTGATTACATGGAGCCTGGATCCGGAGGGATCAGGTTAGGATGTCACAGGATCACAGAATTGCCACACTGCAGAAGAAGGTTATTTGGCCCATCATGTCCACACTAGCTCTCTAAGCATTATGACTCAATGCCAGTCTCCTCTCTTTTCCCCGTAACCTGATATATTAACGGGGAAGTGATGGCACAGTATTATTGCTGGACTGTTAATCCAGAGACCCAGATAACATTCTGGGGACCCAGGTTCAAACCCTGCCATGGCACATGGTGGAATTTGAATTCAATAAAATATCTGGAATTCAGAATCTAATGATGACCGTGAATCCATTGCCGATTGTCAGAAAAACCCATCTGGTTCACTAATGTCCTTTAGGGAAGGAAACTGCCATCCTTACCTGGTCTGGTCTACATGTGACTCCAGACCCACAGCAATGTGGTTGACTCTGAACTGCCCTCTGGGCAATTAGGGATGGGCAATAAATGCTGCCTAGCCTGCAACGCCCTCATCCCACGAATGAATGAACATCCTCCAATTCCTTTTCAAATGCCTCCCATTGAAACTGCCTCCCCTACACATCCAGGTTGTGCATTCCAGACCCTGACTAGTGTCCTTTCTCATCTTGTATTTACTTCTTTTTGCACCCTCTGGTTCTTAATCGGACTTTTAAGAGCACGAACCTCTCTCCCCACTCTGTCTATATATAGTCATGTTCAAGAAGCCTGTTGTTGTCATTCACAAGAATGTCGATATCACATTGCTACGTGTGTGAGGAGAGAGTGTGAAAGGAGCAGGGGGCAGGGGGGAGAGAAATAAATAAATACAGAGGAGGAATGTTAGGCAGAGGATTAATTATCAGACAACAGGTTTTGGCTGCGAGGAAGGTTCAAAGCCAGTTTCTGGACTGATGTGAGTTTATTGAGTTGATATCTGTGGCTGTCTTGTGGCATCTAGTGTTTGGTATCAGGTATTACACACACACACAGACACAGACACAGACACACACACACAGAGCAAAAAATTACCATCCCAAAATCTTATTGATGTGCAGAATAATTTCATCCAGTGCAGACCTCTATATCTTTCCCTACAGTATTGTACAGGGGAACCCAGCTAAGGTTCTGTTCATCTGAAGCAGCAGTTCCTTTGAATCGTAACCAGATCAAAATAAAGTCCTTTTAGATGTCCTGTGTACAGACTTTTAGTCCTCTGTCTGCACTGATACAAAAGCCCCTTGCTCTTCCCCAGCACCTGGTTTCTCTTCTTCAGGAAATGTTCTGCTATGCCTTTCCCAGACCAGATACATAATCTCACGAGACCAACCAGTCTACTACGACAAAAACAGAAATTGCAGGAGAAGCTCAGCAGGTCTGACAGCATCTGTGGAGAGAAATCAGAGTTAACATTTCAGGTCAAGTGACCCTCAGAACTCCCTCAGCCTACTGAGATTCCCTATTCATCGACATCCTCCCTTGCCTTTCCAGCAACAGTAAACTACCACCTCTTTGTGTTATAGACCACAGAATGTAGTAATTCAGCATTGGATTAGGGGATATAAGGGGTAACGGTGTGCCATAGGCGAGAGTTTCGTTAAGCTGATGACACAGATTTAAAACAATCAGCTAAAAATGCAGGAGAAGTATTTTTACGCAGAGTTTATGCAGAATTCACAGCCTCAAACAGCTGCGGAAATGTATAAATATTTGAAAATTAATGCTTGCAGGGTTATGGGGAAAGAGCAGAGGGGTGTGGGACTAATCTTTTAAAGACCCCAGGCTCAGGGTGATGGGCTGAACAGCCTCATTTCTTTTTTGTTGCTGCCTTGTTCTAGTTTTGAGTTGGTCTGCAAGCTGGAGACAGAGCAAAGCAGTCACTAACCTGCCTGGGAGCTGGACAGACCCAGGATCCAGTGTTCACTGTGTATCTGCAGAAAGGCCAGAGAGGAGAGTGTCACAGCAACCTGGAGAGATAAGAAAATGATGTCACCCCCTGGTGTACGGGAAGAACACAAGAAATCACATTGTGGAAGCAGGCCATTCGGCCCATTAGTCCACACCAATCCCTGGAAGTTCAAACTGTAGAAGTTAAGACATTCTGAAGCTTTGTATGTGCCTTATTGCTCTGTGAAATGAAGCTGTAAATCGCAATAAAGATCACCTGACACCACCCCACGATTCAGACTCTCATTGGGAACTGTGAGATCTAACAATGTTCTTCCTGAGTCTGTGTGGGGCGGGGGGGCTCCAGTTTCCTCCCACAGTCCAAAAATGTGCAGGTTAGGGTTGGATTGGCCTTGGGAAATTGCCCCGTAGTGTCCAGGGATATGCAGGTGAGGTGGATGAGCTATGGGAAATACAGGGTTACACGGATAGTGTGTGGGTGGGGGGGTCTCTGGGTCCGAGTAGGGCACACCCTTTGATTACTATTGGTCGGTGACTCTGAGTTATCCCTTTGTAACTGACTCTCTGATACAGCATCTTATACAGCTGAAGCTTCATTCAGCAATTACCTCCACATTAGTGAAATAGATGGATTTTTGCAACAATCTGGTAGTTTCATGGCAAGCATCACCAAGCTGAGATTCTTTTAATTGAAAATTTATTCAATTGAATTTAAGATCGCTGGATGCTGTGGTGGGATATTTGTGATAGTGAGTCCAGGCCTTGGAATACAGTAACTGTGCTGCCTTACTCAACTTAACTTGCTGTTCTTGGTTTTAATCTCTGATTGGTTCGCTTCCCCTTAAAGAGGTCTGGGGCTGCAGCCAATCATAGGGACAGGACATGGATGAGGTTGGTTACCTTCTCTCCATTGGGCAGAGTAAAGCTCTCAGTGGATTCCTGCTCACTGTCGCGAAGTCTTGATAGGTAAACCTCTGATGATTGCTTTAAATCTTCCCAGTCTCCACCGGTTAAAATATCCACGGGGTAGCTCATTGCTAAAGGGACAGAATCAAAAAGGTCAGGGCTGTCTTTATGCCAAAACTCATCTGCCTTGTCATTAAGGGCTCGATAACTCTCACCTCCCAACCTGAAGGTTGTCAGTTCGAGTCCTGCTCCAGAGATTGGGGTAACACGGTGGCTCAGTGATTAGCACTGCTGCCTCACAGCACCAGGGACCTGGGTTCAATTTCACCCTCACGCAACTGTCTGTGTGGAGTTTGCACATTCTCCCCGTGTCTGCATGGGTTTCCTCTAGGTGCTCCGGTTTCCTCCCACAGTCCAAAGATGTGCAGGTTAGGGTGGATTGGCCATGCTAAATTGCCCAAAGTGTTCAGGGATGTGTAAATTAGGTGGGTTATAAGGGGATGGGTCTGGGTGGGATGCTGCAAGGGTCAGTGTGGACTTGTTGGGCTGAAGGGCCTGTTCCCACACTGTAGGGATTCAATGTGAATGAGATGGGGTGCCAGTTGAGTGCTGCACTGTTGGAGGAGCTGTTTCTCAGCTGGGACTTTGTACTATAAGGTTCTGAGGGCGAGTGCTGGGTGATTTAACATGAGACCATGTAAATCAGAATGCAGTAAATTTTGTTTCACCCAACACCTTGTGAACTGACACTTTCAATAAACTGACAAAAAATATATGCCTCAAATACCATAAGTTTACTGTATCATCACAATCTCTGTGATGGCTGAGTAGTTAGTTGAAGGTGTGAGTGAGAAGGCTCTCTGCCAGTGAGATTTATTTACAGCAAAGTTGCATTATTATTTAAGTGATTTATGCTGTAAATAAAGCATAACAGTGATGTGTATTACATTTCAATTACTTAGTGCGTGCTTTTACATTGATGGCGTGGACCCCTCAATCAACCAGAATATTTGATTAATTGGCACATTCCTGGTCCCATAGGTCCTGGTTAATAAAAAGTTTGCTTGACCATAACTGACCGCCTGGCCTGATGTGAAAAAGGAAAAGGAAGCCGTCTGAAATGAATTTGTGAAGGAGGAGAAAGGCTCAGACACCGCAATAGAGGTGGATTTAACCAGCTCTCTACAGAGGTCAATAAAGGACTGTTATGGTACATGAGGAACCAAAGAGCTTTAACTCAGAGATAAGGAGCCAACAGACTCCGGGACCATGTTTATACCGGACACCCCACAGCACAGAGAACAGTAACTCAATGTTCAGGTCACAGTATTCGAGTAATATTAAAAAGGTTGAGAGTGAAAAATCCCCTTGGCAATACAGGACAGCGCGGCGCTCCCTCAGCACTGACCTTCCGACAGTGCGGCACTCCCTCAGCACTGACCCTCCGACAGTGCGGC